GGAAACTACTATCACGTTTAATATAAAAGGAAGATTTATTAACTAAACAATAAAATTACAGCATCGCAGTTCCAAAAAACAAATCTCACACTCACTCAAAAAAACAATTTACCTTCTAATTAGTCACCATAGCAACCACAAAACTCTTCTCGTTACCATCTATAAACTGATATATAATAAATAAATTATTTAACAAAAAATACGATGCGCATAAGCACATAATATTTTACACTCTGGTTATTTCAGTTTCCGTTTTTAGAAGCGCTATATGTTGAGCCACCCAACCTAGATTTGGCATGTGACATTTTTAGCGGCAATTATTGGTTGATTTTCTAGCGTTGCCATTCGGAGAGTTGTAATGAGGCTTTTTTTTTATCGCCGTGTAAGAGTAATATATATATAGATAGCTTCAATATGTTTAACAATCGAAACACAAACAATCAATTATAGTAAAAGGTTAATTAGAATTAAATATCAAACAACTAAATAAGTTCTAGATACTCAGATTGTCTCTAGATTTTAGCAAAAATGAGAAAACCATTAAAATTCTGTGAATTTCATTTTTTTTTTTTTTTTTTTTCATTTCCCTNTTTTTTTTTTTTTTTTTTTGCAGTATTGGGAAGCTTCCAATAATTTAAGTCCGTAGAATTTACGGAAAACCTACAGTAGTTGACATCTCAGTTTAATACACAAAAATGTACAATTCTTTTTCATACATAAATTAAAATAATATAAAATTGCTATTTGCTGGAAGCGCATATAGATATACCAATTTTGGGAATTAACTGATACTTAAAAGATTTATGTATTTTAAAATTGTTAAATTTTCATTTTGTGACATAGCTAAGTTAAAGGCTTGTTTATACGATCCAAGTTCTTGGACGATGATTGATTGAAATTGATGGAAACTTGTTTTGCTTGGATCGTGTAAACAATCATCCAAGTTCTTGGTCCAACTCCTTGGATGATAGTATAGAGCGTGTTCTACTTTCCATCGTCTCCCTTACGCAATCAGCTTCTCTAAAGTTTTGTGACGTCAACAAACAGGCATCAGAATATGTCATTTTGGTGCCCGTTTTCATATATTTTAATCCAAATAAATTAATCTGGTAGGGTTTATTTGTGTTATTATGAATTTATTTAGTGATTTTGAATTCATGAAAGTATGATTTTATAATGTTGAATACATGCAATGCCATGCGCAGGTTTTTTATCCGACCAATCAGTGACATTCAAAAACTTGGATAGTGTCGACGAATCAGTTACAGGAAACAGAAACCAGAAAGTATAGGCTGCAAGAGCTTGCAGTACATCCTGGTGTGGAAAACACCATCCATCGTTGCACATACGCTAATATTTTATAAACATGAAAACTGATTAGATTAGATAATAAATATTATAAGAATCATATAAAAATATTTACCATCATCATTCGTGATTGTGACTGTCGATCTATTAATTTGTCCAATTGTCACTCCACCAGTCGCGTCAAACAGTTCCACTTCAAAGTGCTCATCTTTTTCAGCGTTGAAATCGTCCACAATCTGAATTTCTATATTCTTCTCAACCTCACCGTGATCGAAGACAATTTCTCCTTCTCCACCGTAGTAATCCTTACCAGACACAGCGGTTCGATCTATGGTGCGCCATTTTGTCTTCACGGTTCCATCAACGCCATGGGTTCGAACCACAGGAACATGTGCGGCACCGATGCTCTCCTTCACCAAAATACCTCGTCGTTTGAACTGAAGAATTCCAGGTTCTGAAAAGGATAAGTCATTTTGAATTGGCAGCAAAACGAACGTTTCAAAATTTAATGGACAAAATAAGTGTTTGCAGAGGCTTAAAGTTGGAATCCTCATAAACTTGCGAGAAGAGATTGAGATTATATTTCTAATGTCTAATATACAAAATTAGAAATGTTTGTAAGAGATTCCAAAACTTGTGAGGAGGGATTATATAACTAAACACTTTGGAAAATTCGTAGTATCCACAAAATCTTTATGGGGATACGGAAATGATCAACAAAGATTAGTGAATATATATTACAAACTTGAATATACAGCGTTCGTAAAAGATTAATCGATCTCACTAAGTATGCAAATTTAATGCACAAATTAACTTAATTAAAACTAACTTTTCAAAACTTAATGTAAAAAGTGATAAATGTAAAAGAAGCTCTGTTCACATAGGCTTAGTAGGAATTATCCATAGTTTGCTAACTGAGATTGAGCTTATATTGCTAAACGTTTTGTAATGTCTAAGGGTATACAATTAACGGTGTTTGCGGAGTTCATATAAATAAACACTTTAGAAAATTAACAGTGTTCATAAAAATCTTCAGTAATCTGTAAAAGATAAACAAAATTTATCTTATCGAATATTTAACAAAGTTGAAAACACAACGTTAACGAAAAATTGATAGATCTCACTAACTTTGCAAACAGTAACTCAAACACCATTAGCATCTTGTTAACACAATGATTTCTTACACAGTTTTAAATGTTAAGTTATTGTTAAGAATTACTAATTTAAGGCCTAATTCAATGATTGTTCAGAGTTATCAATTTCAAATATAATCAAGTTGATAAATAGAGAAATGACCAACTCTGGGATTGTATTTTGATTAAATTAAGTGATTGACAATAGATTAGAAATGAAATTAAAAAATGACTGAATTGTACCATCGTCATTCAAAATAGTTATTTCCATGATACAGACTCGTCCAAGCATTACTGTTCCAACATCTTCTGGTAGAATGCAAAGCTTCAAAAAGAAGGTTTCATCTGGCTCCCATTGATTATCGTCCACGATCCCTACGCTCAATTCTTTTTCGGTTTCTCCATCCTGGAAGGTTAAGATCTCCTTTACCGGTACATAATCCTCTCCTGATACAGCTGTACCATCAATAGTTTCCACCCTGATCAGAAAACAAAATGCAATTACTGCTAAATATCATTAATAATTGAAGTGAAAATAGTATCAATAATACAATAGTTTAATTAGCATATTTAAAGTTTATCCTCCAACCCATTACGATTACATTCTTAGCAAGTGAAATTATAAATTTTAGATAAATCGTACTTAAAAGTATATTTGATTTAAAAAGTAAATAAATTTGAAGCACAACTCCATGCGTATTAAAAATTACCATATAAGAAAGAGTACACGAAAAAAAGTAAGTATGTCACTAAGAATAACTTTTACTTTAATAATCAGATTTTCACAAACTAAGAGCCAATCTTAATAGTTCAAAAGGTTGACCTGAATAGGCATAATTTTTTTTTTTTTTTCATCGTTGAATCTTTGACTATATCAATATATGGGGGTGTCGCAATCTGGCAAATATCCCAATGGACACATCATAAGTTAACTGTTAACCAAGGTTAAAGACAAAACGCAAAAATTTTCCTCATGTTTACTCTGAACTTAAACAAAAATAAGTTATTAAGTGTGCTAAGAGGTTTTTCTTTCCTCTAACTCAAAGCAGAACTCGTTACGTAATAGAACCGATTGAACCTCTTTCCTGGCTTTGGAAATCTCAATGTGATGCACCTATTTACACTGAAAATGAAACAGTTCAAAGACCCCACCCATTCTAGTTATCCGTTGTAGTATTGTGCGGCTTTGAGGAGAACTCCTCTAGACTAAAAGTCTGCTGCTATGGTTACAAGCGAGAGCACATTTCTAATGGGGGTGCAATGGAGGAATTAAAGTGTCGATTGGTTTACTCACTCTGATTTATTGCAAAGATCAAGACAAAACTATTCACCCCACACCCTTATACAATGTGACTTTTCCTCGTAACCATGGCACCCGCCACTAAGCAAGACAGATGTCGGAATGAGTTCTGAAAACCGCACTATGGTAGTACTTTATTTATGTCGTACTAAAGCTGCAGAATGGGCTATTATTGACGGTCCGGAAAACATCCCTGAGGATGATACATGCCATCATAGTTTTGATCTTTTGCGGAGGTCATGTCGCCACCGCTTTGGTAGCCAGACCGCCTGCGTGCGAAGTCTAGCACTTTACGGTAGAACAGTTTTACGAGGACCAATAGCGTGTCCTCGGTCCCTATGAAAGCTGAAAAAACCGCCCACTCACTGACAAATGCCAATGCAAAAATAATTTTTAATAACTATTCATGGCTTTTAATTGTATTTAATTAAGGTCCAAAATTTTTTGGATTGTAAGGTACATAAAGTTTCGCACCATTTTAAACTAAGCAATTTTAAATGATAAAATAAAAATTTGTATAAATTTGGCCTATTTCTTCAACACCTTATGCGTGTAAACACCTTGGTAATAATCTCCAAAAAATTACTTTTTAGCTATTCAAATTATTAAGCAAACATACCTGCATCGTGCTATTCCCGTAGTTTTTCCATGACGCCTGATTTTCACTGCGACTTTGCCTGCATTTTCCATAACAGCTGCTGTTGCTGCCACAAAATCTAACATAGGGATGTCTTTCTGCTCCATGGGTGCTGCAGGTTTTGCATCTGTTTCATCTTCTTTACCAAGCAGACTATAAACCTAAGTAATAAGATAATAATTAAAAATATGCGACGACTTAAATATTTCATGAAATCGCCATACTTTTTTCACTAAATTACGAAGAATCTACGAAGTCGTTGTCGAGATGCCGATGATGCATGATCCATTATATACTATGCCTGATTTTAATATTTCCTAAATAAGCCATACCTTCTAATGTAGAGGACAGTCGAACAAAACTGGAAGGCTGGGATAGTTAAATCTATCTGGTTGGTAGGGCGTCGGGCCCATTTCCAAGAGGTCGTGAGTTCGATCCTCGTCGGCCGAAAATTACCCGTGTAGTAAATGGTTACTGGTGCACAAAGTCCTCCATGTTCCCATAACAAATTATACCTCTGAGGGTATTGAATTGGAAATTGATAGTTTTCTGGTTCAGGTCAAAAATTACGATCTGTGGATGAATGAATAGATCCGCCTTATAAACGGTCTGTGACGCGTGTGTGGCTGAAATCGTATTCTTGTCTATAGATGGCGCCAATGAGAAATAAGAAACGCACCTTCTGCTTTAAATTCGCTTGGTTTCAACAATCAGGCTTGCTGATATTGACAAGTGACATTAGAAACTTGAATAAGAATTCCGCATTCGGCTTGGACCGACCGCAATGCTGACGTGATATATCCTCAGTGGTAGACGGATCATGAGTTAGAGTCCCCTTGCCGTCAGGCTAACCGTGGGAGGTTCTCGCGGTCTTCCTCTCCATGTAACGCAAACGCGGGTTAGTTCCATCAAAAAGTCCTCCACGAAGGCAAATTTCTCCCTATACTTGATCCAAGAGTTCCCTTGTCTTACGGATTAGGTTCTAAATTACAAGGCTATGGAGTTGAACATTAGTAGTCGTAAAAGTTCCCGGATGTCCCCTGACGAGGGCGGGACGGGGTTAAGCTTTGATTAGTAGTCGCAAACCCAAAATTGGGTCGGCTGTTCAACGACGATTATAAAAATAAAATTAAAATGGTATTAGAAACAACAGCAACAAAACCGTGTGTAGGGATAAAAGCGGGATTTGACATTTGTTACTAAACTACTGCTGTCATCTATCAGAAATCACATGAAACTGGTTGCAAAATTTGAGTCCAGCTATTCTAAGCTGAATGTAAAACGGAGTTTGATATTTATTTGCCAACGTCAGTGTTTTAAAAATTTGATTAGAATAGTTTTTTACTCTGCCCATTTGATTATGTTGCTCCGAATTCCTAAAATATTGGATAACGATAGGCATCGATGTTGTTTACAATGGGCACCTGAAGCTTGTAGCATTGCAGAGGAACTTGATAAAACTTATGTGATTTCTTTCTTTAAATCAGATCAACTAACTTAACTTACGATGAATTACAAACATATTCCTTGCGTTCCTTGATTTAAAAAGAAACTCATGTGTGTTCTTAGCGATCCGATTTTGTGTGACTTTTTTTTCTACTGCAAATATTTAAAAAGAAGTATATGCAAATATTTAGAAATAAGTAAGCTTAAAAATATTAATTATAAGCCTGCTTTTTTCAATTGCAATATTTGAAACACTTACAAATAATATTCTTTATTTTGAGTTGTCACTTTAAAAAACTCTTAATATGGGCATAAAAGTTCTGGTTAAGTCAAAACCTGATAGAAAACATCAAAACTTTTAACAATCATTCTACGCCAGACTTCTAAAGTTTAGATTAACACGTTGAATGCCATGGGGGTGACCGGCACTGAGTTTGTTCGTAGTGCTAGGGGGGTCACCGGTGACCAGCGAAGCCAAGATTATTAGAAACGCATAATTTGAGTAAATTTTTAATTTTTTATATTATTATCGTTACTAAAATAGTTTGAAGAAATTATAAAACACACAAAAATAGTTTCATTTATGTACACAGAGATGCCTACTTGCTCCGGACAGCGAATAAATATTTTCAAGTGATAGTTTATTAATTGTGATTTTTGGTTTAATGCATTCAATTTAGTAGATTTTTATCCACCACTATTTCTAAACAATACGTTGGCTTATATAATTCACCACTTTTTTCAGATATGTCATGATAAACCTTTTAAAAAAACTAGCAAAATCCTGTCTAATATTTGCAAATTTAGTTTGCAGATATTTACCTTTGTGGCCAGACGGGGAAGCCACATAAAATTAGCGTGGCATTCAACGTATTAATGTAAAAATAATTTTTAATTTTTTTTATTTTTAATAACTCTTCCTGTAGCATTATAGCTTATATTATAGTATTATGTATAGGTTATAAGCTAATAGAATAATCCAACTTTTTGAAAACAACCGCAGTTATTTTTCAATGCGTAGGGCTAATTGGAAAAATCTCCAGTATTTTCTAATAATTTCAACATTTTATAAGTTATACCATAAGCCCACATACTTTTAGGCTAATTAGAAAATACATTATTCATTGCTCAATCGTCTTGATTTTTCAGGCACTTTGCACTAAGCCTACAGAAGGGACATCTTATTGTAATTAGCCTTATTACAGGTAACAATAAACCTAGAAAATTCAGTCCGCTTTAAATGTTTTTCACAATGATTCACACACTGATTGTAATAAACCTAAAGTGATGATGATTTGGAGATACTGATTTCCCGTTTAGACTTGCGTATTTAAGAAATACCACAGATATTTGAAAAGGACTGGGTTTTTCAACTGGCCTACAATATTTATTATATTATTAATATATGATGAGTATACATTACCTTTTTATAGATAAAAAAAGTTAATTGTTCAGGTTTTTTCTTATTATTTCTTTAGTCAGAAAATTCGAAAATTTATTGGAAGAAAGCGCGAAATTTTGAGTTTAAAAATAAGTTATTGTCATTTGATGAAACAAGTTGTTGTTATTATTTATTTTTTTTGTCATGTCCTTAAAAAAAGATATTTTTAAATAAGTTTTGAAAACATCTTTCTGCTGCTTGTAATTATTCTAAAGTTCCTATAATTACAGCTCATTTAACATGAAAATTTTATCTTCCACTAATTCTTTTAAGTTAGATTTTATTTTTTACCGCAAAATGCTTCGTTTTGAAGAAAAAAAATTAAGAAAAAAAAATGTAGCACAAATACTAATAACTTATTTAATCAGCTGAAAAATCTATTTTCTTTTTAAATTTGTTTCAAAATTATAAATTTCTTGCATACAATTATCACTATATAAATAGTTTTAATACATACCAAAGTAAATATTTTCTTTGTAATCTAGTAAATATTTTTAGTAATTGAAAGAAGTTTAAAATGAAATAGAATTTACGAATATATTATATCCTTTTTATTTGACAAAAAAAAAATTTTTAAACAGAATTATTAAGAAATTAATTTTAAATATACATATTTTTGATGATATCGACAGAAAATTCCTTGGTAAAAAACTTAATCCTTGGTCCTATCACAATGATGGCATAAGAGTTGTTTTGAAAATTTCATTATCACACTTTTGTTCGATAACAAAATTACAACATTACCTTAAATAAGGTGTACATGAATTTATGAAGTAATTGAATCATATTAAAATTGTTTGTTACCTGTCCGCGTGATTGCTCACTACTATTAGGCGTAAACAATCGAAGAAAATTGGGGTTACAGGTCAATCATTCGAAAATTAACTTACCCATAATCATGTAAAACAGTCTATCGAAATAATTCTCATTTTCTTTTACTGCGTACTTAATTATCTTGTTTTTTTGCTTTAATGCTAATACTACGGGATGAGGTGATCTAGCAAAAATATCTCAAAAAGTTGCTTTTTTATTTTAATGTTTTTATTTCTTCTTCTCTTTTTTATTTGATACATCTCGCCAACTTCTTAAAATTGTGTGGTTATTCATATCAAAAGAATGTATTTCTTAAAACGCAACTTTGCGTGTTAATAAAAAACATTAAACTGCCCTATCGTGATAATTAAACCACGCAATGCTAAATTTAAATAACTTTCATCACATGAAAAAAAAAAATCGAACCAGTATCCATTGTCAACGTTTTTAGATATTTGAAAGTTGTATTTTTTTCCTTGGAATTGCAGACCTAAGAAAGAAAAATTGGGCTCATGAAGTATTTTTCCTTAAAGAATTGGAATATTATAGTTTTTCTTATTTTTTTTAAAAAAAAATCATGGTAAGCATGTAGCATAATTCCTCTAAAGCAGTGGTTCCCAATCTGGGGGAGATATGGCCCCTCAACGGGGCGATAATCCTCAGACGGGTGATGAGCATTCAAAAGAAAAAAAATAGCAATTAATAATAGTAGAGCCATGGTGGCACGGGGGATAGAGCGTTCACCGCCAATGAGGTGAGCCCGGGTTCGAATCGTAGCGATGGCTGGTTAATAGGAAAACCGTATCCGGCTCTCACCGACCACAGTACTGACGTAAAATATCCTCAGTGGTAGACGGTTCATGGGTTAGAGTCCCCTTGCCATTAGACTAACCTTGGGAGGTTTTCGTAGTTTTCCTCTCCATTTTACGCAAATGTGAATTAGTTCCATCAAAAAGTCCTCCACAAAGGCAAATTTCTCACAATACATGATCCAGGAGTTCCCTTGTCTTCTGGATTGGGTTCAAAATTACAAGGCTACCGAGTTGAACATTAGTTGTCGTAAACCCAAGAAATTGGATTGGATGTTCAAAGGCGGGTATAAAATAAAATTAATAATAATATAAAAAGTCTGCGAAACGCTCCTCATCTGGGTCCTGTCAACATATTTAGTAGAAAGAAGATTTAGTCCGGTCGTCCAGCTTCTTACAAAACAAAGAATTAGATTGGACCTTTGCTTCAATTGAGATCCACCAAGCACAAAGCAGTCATTGCAGAGTTAAAAATGAACGATTTAGTTTTCAAATTTTCAGTTTTTTCTCACATTTTTAGTTGTTAACATTTTCAATTTTTCCAGATTACATTAAAAAAATTAATTTAAAAAAAATTTATTCTCGGTTCAATTATTTCACTTCAAACACCATCTTTTTTTGGAAGAAAAAAAATTAAAGGGATTCACATTTTTCTTTTCAAAAAATTTCCGATAGTGACTTTATAAAATTGCTTCACTTAAAATTACATTTTAATTTAAATTAAAATCAGGTATAATTTAGTATATATTCACATTTATTGATGCTCACTTGCAACCATGTATGTTGTTTTGTTTTCAATCAAAAAGAAAAAAGGGGGCAATAAATGGTAGCAAACTTTTAGAGAGAGGTGGTGGGCAACAAACGGCTGGGAACCACTACTCTAATGAAATAAGAAAAATTTTATTATAATTGAAGTAACCTAATTTGTGACTTTATCTAAGTTCTTAATTTTATTTAGTGCAATTTTTTCCCAATTTCTTAATTATCATTAGAGTATCTTAATTTGTTGTTTACTTCTCTGGTTTCTTAATTATAATTGAAAAAGTTAATTTGGAACAATCTTTTCTAAGTTTCTTTTGTTATTGGAGCAACCTATTTTATAACTTACCCTTCCAGTTTTTTTATTCATAAGTGAGATACATTAATTTGCAAATTCATTTTCTGGCCTTTTAATTTCTAATTGAGGTAACTTAATTTGCGACTATCTTTTCCTAGTTCTTAATTGCATTAGGAGCAACCTATTTCATAACTTACCATTCCAAGTTTTTTAATCATAGTAGGGTACTTTAATTTATAATTTACGTTTCAGGTTCTTAATTTTAATTGAGGTAACTTATTTTGTAGGTATCTTTTCCACGTTTCTTATATATTAGAGCAACTTATTTCATAACCTTCTAGTTTTTTTTAATAATAAGTAACAACCTTAATTTGTTATTTACTTTTCCGGTTTTTAAATTAATTTTCCCGGATTCTTATTTACATCTGAGGTGATTTAATTTGTAACTAAAATTAGAACTTTCTTAATTATAATTGAGGTAACTTAATGTGTAAATATCTTTTTCTAAGTTTCTTTTGCATTTGGGGCAACTTTTTTCATAACTAATCCTTCCAGTTTTTTTAATCATAAGTGAGGTACCTTAATCTGTTATATACTGTTAAGCTTTTTAAATTAATTTTACTGGGGAAGGTAGCAAACTCAACTCCCCACTGCCCCTTCTATAGTGCGGCTTTGAGGAGAACTCCTCCAGACTGAAAGTTTGTGGCTGGCTGCTGCTATGGTAACAAGCGAGAGCACATTTCTAATGGGGGTGAAATGGAGGAAAGAAGGTGTCGATTGGTTTACTCATGATGACCTACGCTAAGATTAAGACAAAACTATTCACCCCACACCCCTATTCGAAGTGGCCTTTCCTCGTGACCATAGTACCCGCCACGACACGAGACGAGTGTCTAGAGGAGAGTTCTCCTGAAAACCGCACTATACCAAATTGAGAACTTCTGAAGTTTACTCCCTGTTTTTGGCTAATATAAACACCAATTGGAGCCCGAATATTGCCGGTATGCTCCTGTCCAAGACTTGCTCAGATCACTCTATCTGGACTTAGGACTGGTCATATTAAGAGTCTAAATTTTATGGAAAAAAAGAAGACTTATGGTGTTCTGCAAGCGCTTCTCCCTCTTATATCTTAGTTTGTATTGGTGACTCTGTGGAACAGCTGTTGAATGAGGAGGATTTAGTTTTTGATTTAGTTGTGCAACTTGATCTCCTGGACTTGGTTAAGTCTGACTAAGCCAAGGGGGATAAGTTTCTTATTTACATCTAGAGTGACTTAATTTGTGACTTATTAATTGAGGAAAGTTTAATTTGTAACTTACTTTTTCCAGTTTCTTGCTGAGCCTGGGTTTTGGTTTTCTGCCACCTGATAATTCCCGTATAGCATTGATTTTGTACCACATGCGTGTGTGGTCAGTTTCCTCTACTAATCTGGCTGCTGCCAAACATGCTGCATCTTCGGCTGACAGAGCTGGATGTTTTCGAACCTCCTACATGTTAATAAAAAAATAAATGTGAAAATTGGTAAACATTTATTGATAATAATACATAAATATAAAGTTTTGCGTATAAAGCTTTGTTGTGCACATTTTTTTTTAATTTGCTGCAGGATATCATGCTAAAAGACAACGTTAATAACATACAGCAGTCTTGATTCTATAGACGAGCATTACTAATCTGGCAGCTGCCAAACATGCTATATCTTCGGCTAAAAGAGCTGGATGTTTTCGAATCTCCTACATGTTAATAAATCAGAAAATGAAAATTGTTAGACGATTTTCATAATACAGTCGGACCCCACTATAGTGAACCATTTGTGGACCCAGTTGTAATTTCATTATAAATAATAATTTACTGTATCCAAAATCTTTGAAGGTTCAAGCAAATCGAAGTAGTATTGTTGAATAATGTTTACAATAATACACATTTTTTTTATAAATTACGAAATAACTAAATACGTTGAGTCCTTTTACAACAAGTTTTCTTACGGCAAATTTCTACTTATTAGGAAATTTTTAATTGGAACATTCGAAATGTTCTCCATATAACGAAGTAGTTTTCTCGCTATAATAATTTTTTTTGAGACATTACCAGATTAAAAACTTTCCCCGCTTCAAAAATACATAAATAAGAAATAACAGTCGACATGTTTCAAGCTCTCAAAAATAGACGCCCATTTTCCAGATGTGAATGAGAAGAAACGGAAGTGATTTGAAACATAAAAAGAAGTTGCCAAAGAAAAATGGCAAAATAAAGGTGAGAAACAAAACTAGAAAAACCACAGAAGCCGAGAGAGAAGAAAAATAGAACAAGAAAAACTACAGTGGCTGAGAGAGGCAAATCAGGGTAAAATGCATTTCCACGCGCTTTGGAATGTTAACAAGGGAATCAGCATTCATATCGCTGGTTCAAAATTAAAACGACACTTCTGTAAACATAATACGTTGCAGAAGTGTCGTTTTAGTTTTGAGCCAGCGATATGTTTAAAACAAGATTCTAGTGAATCAAGAGTTTTCTATATTTGTTTCACACTATTATTTTTCCATTTTTTGTTGGCAACTTTCCGTTTTATATTGTTGTTGTTTATGTTGTTCCGTTTTATATTTTGTTTCCTCTCATTCACGTCTGAAAAATGGGGGCCCTATTTTATTTCTCAAGCGGTTGAAAACATGTTGACTGTTATTTTCTATTAATAAATTTTTGAAGTGAATCAAGTTTTTAATCAGGTAATACCTTATCGCTTCAGTTTCTTGGGATTATTTATTTAAAATTGTTTAGACGTTTATCGTTACAATTTTTGCCATTTTTGAAATTTTATAGAATTTATCTTTTTTTAGTTTTCACCACTTTTGAAGAAAGTTGCAGTAGTAGTAGTAGTTCATTTACGTCACACTAGAGCTGCACAATGGGCTATTGGCGACGGTCTGGGAAACATCCCTGAGGATGATCCGAAGACATGCCATCGCAATTTTGATCCTCTGCAGAGGAAATGGCACCCCTGCTTCGGTAGCCCGACGACCTGCATGCGAAGTCGAGCACTTCACGGTAGAACAGATTAACGAGGACCAATACCACGCACCCTCGGTCCCTACGCAGACTGATCTAAGTGGTCACCCACCCGCACACTGACCCACACTGACCGCAGCCAGTGATGCTTGACTTCGGTGATCTGCTGGGAACCGTGGCTCAATGATCAGTCCACTGCGGGACTGAAGAAAGTTGTATTTGAAAGTTAGAATTTCTGTGCAACCGATTGATTCTCCTATGTGCCTACTTTTAGAACAACTCACATTATTTTATTACAGAAAAATAACTCATTTTAAACACTCCTTTATAATGTGTATTACTTCATTTTAAATTAAAAATCATATTTATTTTTAAACTTATCACATAGACTAAAACTTTTACAACATTTAAATACAAACAAAAAGAGGATTTGAGTTCATTATAAACGAACTACCAATTTTTTAGCAGTTCAATATAAGCGAATGAAATAACGTTTGTTTAAGGAAGGAAATACTGAAAGCGGTCATTACAACCGAGTGTCACTATATCCGGGTTCAATATAGCGGGATTCAACTGCAATACATAAATAGTGTAAAGCTCTGTTGCGTACGCTTTTTCTTATTTGCTGAAGGATATCAAATTAAAAGGCAACGTTAATAACATGCTATAGTTTCCATGCTATAGGCGAGCATTGTTAATTGTTAGATATGCCAAAACAGGAAAATTAATTTTGCACAGGGGAAAAAAATGTTATTTACATATATTCTGTAAGGGTTTTCTTAAGATAAGTGTCCCGAAAAAAAAAACACTTTCTTAAAGTTGACCTTCGATTCTAAATATGGCAAGCTCTTCTTTATTTGAATAATTGAAAAAAAAAATCATAAAAACTCATATCTTTAATATTTAATTTCGGTATAAAATCAGAAATTTTAAGATTTGTTACCCTGTGTATCAACAATGTAATATAATATATGCATTATAAATGAATTTTTTTTTTTTTTTTTTTGCAATTACCAAAAAAAAAAAAAAAAAAAATGCTTGTTCATTTATTGCATGTTAGATTTTCCATTCTAAAACTACGGAAAAGTAACCTGCAGCAGTCTACCCTTCATTTTACGGTTGGGTACGATTCTTTGTCTTTGCGGTTTTAAAACGGTTTACATTTAATGTGATTAAAAAACCGCGGATACGATACAAAATTGCACGATTCTGAAACCATTTAAAGCTATCATGGTTTCAAAGCCTTAAAAAGGAAATTTAACAGGACATTGGAGTTAGGTTTTTTGTAAGGTAATGAGGAATATATTTAAAATAGGTTGTAGTTAAGTTGAGTTTTGGCATACAATCGTGGAATTCAGCTTCATTTATTTCGTGGTGATATCTAATAAAAGAGATGGAAAATGCTAGACTTTTTTGTTCCCAGCAGCTCTGTGGGGGCTGCCATCAAAACGTGAATAAGAATTTCGTATTCCAATAGTCCAGGGTCAACAATTAGGGAATGCAGGATAAAAGAAGCTCTTTATAAGTTGAAAGGAATGGAAGAAATATTGGTGTTAACGCTGAGATTCGTAACAAACATTCAAGAGATTGACAGATTAGTCCTCTTGGCATAGTATGTACCCCAACTGTAAGAAATTAAATAGCTTCATAAGGTGGGCCTGGTTGGCATGGATAAATTTTTTCAGAAATAGAAAAGAATGCTAGTTGAATCGCTAAAGATATACAAATACATATAAATATACAATGCATCTTTCAATTATAGAAAAATATATACTTACCTATCGATTGCTCAGTACAAATAGATGTAAATATGCAAGGTATTTTTTTTTTCAATTATAGGAAAGAAATACTTATCTAATGATTGTACGCAGTAATTAAACTTACTAGACATTCATTTGAAAATCTAAGTAAATATATAATGCATATTTTTTCAATTTTAGAAAAATTTGTCTCACGCTAATTACAAAAAACACGCTAATTACAATTACTAGACATTAAATATTTGCAAACATATGTAAATGTATCATGTATTTTTACTATTATAGAAGAAAAATTTGTCAAATAGCTGGTTTTTCGCATTAAGAGGTATATCATATTTTTACAGTAAAAGAAACAAGCAAAAATTACATAATTTCTCAACTGTTTGATTTTAGCAATAAATGTATGAGTACAAATGGAGAAAGTAATTATATAAGCTTAACAGGTAGTAGAATACTAGAGATAGAGTGCCCATTGTCCCTCAATGCTACATATTCAAATAAAACAAGCCTTCACTGATAACATCACCATATTTTACAACCCACAATTCAACTATTATAATAAACTGTTGATCACTTATTCTGTGAAATATTAGGTGACAGCGACGTCTCTAAGTTTTCCCTACCATTATCAAAAGACAATGAAATACTGGGAATACCTGAATGGTTAAACCGCAGAAACAAACAAAACAAAAAATATTAAAAAAAATGAAAATAGAAAAGAAAAAAAAAGAATCATGTTATTACCTTAATGAATTTCACTAGAGTCTCTTTGCTTAGCTGTCCTTTGGGAAAATATTCCTCTTCTTTTTTAACAGTCGCTGGAATGAATAATTTTCATTAATTTTTACAAAACACACAAAAACATTATTCGTATGTAAGCATGTTACTACATTGACCTTGTAACAAAGAGTGGTTTAAAAATTAAACTGATAACAAAAAATGTATATTAGCATAATTATAATTGTAAACTGAAAATCAAAATAATAATTATAATCCTTGAAGTTTTAATCAAAAATAGAGAGGTCAAAATAAAGAGCTGTGAGACGCTAAACATGTTAACACTGAATTTAATCACAATCAATGTCTTAAAATAAAGATTATAAATTTTAATTATAAGGAAGAAAATTTTTAATTTTGTAAAAGATTTCTAAATTTCAAATTTATGAACTAGACATTATTTTCCAAAGTAATAATAATAATTATAATTCTCGAAGTTTTAATCAAAAATAGAGAGGTTAAAATAAAGAGCGTGAGACGCTGAAACATGTATTAACACTGAATTTAAATTTAATCACAATAAATGTTATAAAGAAAAAAATTTATGAACATTAAATTGATAGATTAAATTTTTTTTCTCTAAAGTAAAAATTAAATAAATATTTCAAGCATATTTGTATTATACATTTTTTTGATTGATGTGTGTTATATTTAATGCAATTATTATCGTTAAATCATTACCGTGAGATCAACCAATATAATTATCTCAATAAAACTTTCTAAGGATAAAATTAACACGTTTCCAATGAAACGTAAAGTCTAAAATATTTAATGACTAAATTAGTGGTAAATAATTTAAAAATGTAAATAATTTTTAAAAAAATTTTATTTCAAAAAGTCTATTTTAAAAAAGTTTATTTTAAAAAAGTTTCAATTTAAAATTTTTTATATATTAATAATTCACGTGAATGTTTTTAAACGATTTTGAAGAAATTATTTGTTGTAAATTAAAAAATTTCGAGAAATCTAAAGAAACCTTAACCTTGGATTCAGCCTGTTTTGTAAGAAGCCTTTAAACCAACTGTCAAGGTCTCTTGAAGAGAATAATGTTGAAATAAGGTGAAGGTTAATAATCACGAATATTAATTTCATTCAGTGCATCATTTCGATGATAATTGACACACCTATTTATCTTTTAATAAATATCATTGCCTTAGATTTTTAAGTCTATAAATATTTTTTAGAAAAAAATCTTAATAATGGCTATGTATAGTGACAATGAAAAAGTATCGACACCATCTGAATATTGATACTTTCTTCTGCATTATCGATATTTCTTTTCTTTAGCATCGGCTGGTATCGATACTTTTCTCCAATAGTTACGAATGGTATCAGTACCTGTCTTTCGGTAGTATCGATTTGTATCGGTACTTACTTCAATAGTTATGATTGAGCTGTGGTGGCTTAGGGGATAGAGCGTTCGCCTTCCAATGCTGCGAACCGGGTTCGAATCCCAGTGGATACGAATTCCGCATCGGGGTTGCACCGACCACAGTGCTGAAGTGAAATATCCTCACTGGTAGACGGATCATGAGTTAGAGTCCCCTTACCATCAGGCTAACCATGGGAGGTTTACGGTTTTTTTCTCTCCATTTAACGCAAATGCGGGTTAGTTCCATGGCAAAGTCTTTTATGGAGGCGTATCTCTCCCAATACTTGATCCAGGACTTCCCTTGCTTTCTGGATTGGGTTCAAAATTACAAGGCTCCGGAGTTGAGCATTAATAGTCATAAACTCAAGAAAATTGGGCTGGCTGCTCACCGACGATTATAAAATTAAATTAAATTGATACGAATGATATCAGTGCTTTCTTCTTATAGTATCGGTTGGTATCTATATTTTCCTTTAATAGTTGCAATGATATCAGTGCTTTCTTTCCATTGTATCGTTTGGTATCGATACTTTCCTCTAATAGTTACGAATGGTTTTTCAATAGTATCGAACGATAGTAGTTTCGAGTGTATACATTTCTCTCAACACAGGATATAATAAGTTGTATTGCATTGACCAATCCAATTACATTACCATTATCCAATAAGTTGTATTGTACTTACATTTATTACAAATTATAGCGCATGTCAAACACGTAGATCTCTGACAAAATTAAAGGCGTCATGGAGTCAGATTCTACTTTCCTTCCCTCCTATGTTATCCTATGGAGCATTATATGATTCTTAGATTACTCTACGAATGGTATCGGTGCTTTCTTTCGATAAAATTGATACTTTCCTCCAATAGTTACGAATGGTATCAATGCTTTCTTGCGATAGTCTCAGTTGGTATCGATATTTTCCTCTAATAGTTGCGAATGGTCTTTGATAATATCAAGCGATAGTAGTTTCGAGTATATCAATTTTCTCTAATAACAGGATATAATTCAATAAGTTGTATTGCATTTACATTTATAACAAATTAAAGAGCATGTCACACACGTAGAACTCTAACCAAATTAATGGCGTCATGGAGTCAGATTCTACTTTCCTTCCCTCCTATGTTATCCTATGGAAAATTATATGATTCTTAGATTACTCTTAATTCAGTCACTAATTAATATTTTGGAATTTTTTTTTTGTTTTGTTTCATTTTATTCTTTGAAATATAGCAAATAAACTAAGTTAGTAAATTTTTAGTTTGAAGATTTTCATCTATTTTATTGACTGCGGTTCTCGAAAACTAGTAATCTTAAAACGTTTAGGGACAAATTAAATATTACAGCTGTTTTAAATATATGCTTCAATTTTGCATTTTCTCTTTTTCAAATTATATATATTTGCTACTTAAATTCTCCTTGAATTTAATATTTAAATTCATGCTAATCAGAGCCGTAGTAAGCTAAATTCAACTTCGTTTTATACTTTATTTCGACAATTATTTTTGTAAAATGTTGACTATTAATTTGTATTAGTCCCTTAATATATATTGTTCGAATCCTTGACTAAAAAAAAAATAATGAAGTTTCATCACCAGTGTGAAAAAAATATATAATTAATGTCGAAAAACAAAAACGTTGTTAAAATCTGTCAAATCACTACTTAGGAAGGTGGGATTAAAAACTTCAAAACCAGTTTGATTGCTTCAAGAAACTTGAAGGTGTTTCTAGTTGTATCGTTCTAATGCCCTCTCTGTCAATCAAACAAGTTTCTCTTCTTCTCCCCTTCTTCAATAATGATACGCACTATTACAATATTTTTTTTTCGAAGCTCATAACGAAAGTCGTCGTAAATATATAATGAAACCTTGTTAAATTAAACAAACTATAGATTAAAGAAAATATTAAAAACTTTAATTCGTTTAATAAAACTTTTACTTAGATACCTGTGGTTTAATAAATGACTTCGTTTAATTGCATCAATAAAAAACTATCATAATTAAGTAAAGAAGTTTCAATAATGACAGCACTGATTGTTTTTGAATAACTAAAACGGAAATTTGACAAAAACAGATACAAAATAGATGCTATATAACAAGCTTATTAAGCAAAAAGCCCACACAATAATATGAAATTTCACACCATGCAAGAAGACGATAAAAGGCTTCATTCCTTAATAAGAACTATAAGAAAATTGATAAAAAAATTTTTAACCCATGCTCAATTACAGACAATACACAGTTTAATTTTATTTACAGATAAAATATACATGTTACTGTGAATGACAGAAATAGGTGGTTGTTGACTTCCACCGGTGAATGTTGAAAATCACATAGCAGCCTTTTTAAATGTCCGAAATATATACTAGGTTTAGTTAAGGGCCACTGACCGATATACATTTACCCGATATGCCCTACATCAGTGTTTTTTAAGGTCAAGTGCCACTGTCCAGCATGCATTTAACCGGTACTGCGAACACTGATGTTTCTCCGAATCAATAATCAGCAGATATTAAAATATCGAATAGATATAATAATATAAACGAATAAATTAGTATCCAATCGGATATAACAAATATTTCAGACATTCACCAAAGCGATTATGTGATTGTTGATATTCACCGGTGAAAGTCGACATTCTCTTGATTTCGATTATTTATGGTAACATACATAAGGCTTTGAGAATTTCCTTATCATGCATATAAAATGCAAAATTCGTATTAAGATACTAAAAAAAAAATAAGCCTCAGTATATAGAGGTAATTAAAGGATTCGTTGGACACTAAAAATAAGGACTGCGCATAAATTAAATCATTGTATTGCGAGTAATTTTGGTTAAAAATAGAAGAATAAAATATAAAAATAGTTCAAAAACTAAACGATATACCTGATGTCCTCACCCACATATGCACAATTTCTTGGAAAAGAATTGAAACAATGAACATATTTAGCATTTAAGATAAAATATAGTGCATTAATAGAACTAATGGTAAAGAAAGCTATGATGGTATATAAATTATGATGATATTAAAACTGAATAATGAACTGCAATACATATTTTATTGTTACAGTAAAATTAACGTCTGTAACGTAACCGAAAAAAGATTTATAAAACAAAAAGAAACGTTTACGCAATTTAAGTACGTTCAGATCATACGATTTCTCAATTGTTTCAATGAAGTTTAAATAGCAAAAAAGTTAAGGAAATCAATAAGCAACAAAAGTGATTATGTAATTTAGGTACCTTCAGATCATATGATTTCTCACTTGTTTCAATAAAGCTTCAATCACAAAATTAAGGAATCCATAAGCAACGAAAGTGCTTATGTAATTTAGATTACTTCAGATCATACGATTTCTCACTTTTTCAATAAAGCTTCAATCGCAAAAAGGTTTAGGGAATCTATAAGCAATGTAAGCTCTCAGATAAGCTCAGATCATACGGTTTTTCAATAAAGGTTATTACGGTTTTTCAATCATACTTTTTTTTCAATAAAGTTTTAATCACAAAAAGTTTAGAGAATTAATAATCTTTAATTTAAAAATTGCATTTCTAAATTTCTTATGCAATATATATTCTTATTATACAAAAAGCAATGAACAATTTTTTTTAAATATTTCCACTTAATATAAAATATATTTACCACAATTTTCTTATTCTAAAAAGAAACAC